AGAATATAATTTCCCAATGGAGACCGCTCATTGCTCTTCGAGAGCAATATATATCAGAGCTTATATCTTGCCATCTATTGCCGGCAATTTGGTAGTTTGACAGCTACATTTTCATTTGCACGAATATGCAGTGACGAGCAAAACTGTAACATGGTTTAACACTTTTTGTTTCAGCCACCGCTATAATTTCCAAGTTCTAACGACTTTCATACTTTTGCTGTATATTCTTGTTGGTACATACATCCCTACTCCCTCTCTCATATTGATTTGAAGTCAATACAACAACAATAAAAAAAACCAGCGGACCAAAATGTAAATTAAGGCAGATGTTACAGTTTTGCACTCATATATTTTTAAGAGCTTTTTAACAATTTTCACCAAAAAAAGAAACTACTAACACAATGTTCAGTACTCTTTTGCCTGTTTAAGTTCCTGGATGTGATTTGGCATACCTTATTTGTATCTTTGTAAAAATTCTGGAGGTATATCCTTAATTTGCTTTCACAGCTCATGTACTCGATTTTACGGACTTTGATACTTATTAAGCTGTGCTTTTAGTTGATTTCGCAAATTCTCGATGAGATTCATGTCCGCGGTTTGTGGAGGTCATTTCAAATTAGCAAATTTTTGTTTTAGTATCCAGTCTTTGCGAACATATGCAGTATGTGTTGGGTGATTTTTCAGCAGAAACTCTCATTTTTCGACTACATCAAATGCAAATTTTGTTGAAATATGAACAGATACTGTTCCTTACGCATAATGCGCACTAACGTACCAACAAAATTTTTGAAATACAACCCCAAACAATTAAGATCCTACCATTGTGACTCACAGTTTGCAGTACATGATGCGCTTAGGCTTAATTTGGGTCTTTGATCCAATACCATGCCCGGCCATCTGATTGAAAGCGATAAATTTAGTCTTGTCAGACCAAATAACCTTCAATTGAAACTTAAAAATATGTTTTTTATTGCATTCTGAACGGCCTAACATATCCCAATAGGCAGCGGTTCGGTTTTCGGGCGATGCAGCGAAATGCTGCCACACTCGCACATGTATTATGATCAAATTTGCTTTTTTCTTCTTTATGATGCCTTTGCGCTCAATTTGGCAATTCTTCGCCTCGCTGTCTATTGATTTGCATTAAAATTTAATACCTTAAGCGCTTCTGTAATAGTGGCTGCATCGCTACTTGCTTCTAAGTTCACAAGATATCGTACCGTAATATTTTTTAACATACTTCCTTTGTCCTTGGGAATACTTTCGGCTATATTTTTTCTAAGTCTTAACATTTTTAAGTAGCGAATTCCAAAATTTTTTGCCACTTTTCGTGCGGTTCCGCCTTTCCGCAGTAAATCTATTATTTACAATTATGTCAAATGCAAAACTGAGAGTGAGTGCAAAACTGTAACATCTGCCTTAATTTACATTTTTGTCTGCTGGTTTTTTTATTGTTGTTGTATTGACTTCAAATCATTATGAGAGAGGGAGTAGGGATGTACCAACAAGAATACTCAACAAAAGGATGAAAGTCGTTAGAACTTGGAAATATAGCGGTGGCTGAAACAAAAAGTGTTAAACCATGTTACAGTTTTGCTCGTCACCATAAAAGCAAAAATTGAGCTGCTTCCTGTTAAAATATTTGTAATTATGTATTTGGATGTAAAATAGCCTATTTTCTAAAATTTTTAAGCGATTAAATCCGGCAAAAATACGTTTTCGAAGCTATCTTACGAATGCTTATATCAAGATATAAAAAGCCCACACAAATATTGTCACTGATATAACTTATATCTCGCGACCAAAATGACAGCTGGGCAGCAATAAATTTTATCCTGTGGAGACAGCCAGTAATGAGGCCCTCGTTTGCTTGCCGCTCTACTCTTGCGCTGCCCTCGTTTGATTACTCGCTCGCTGGCTGCTCAGCGCGTACGCTCGTACTTAACGAGTGCTCGTTTACAAACAGCCTCACTTGTTGCTCGTGTTGCCGCGCCGTCTCAAGAAAGTGTACCCCTGACCAAGCCAAAAATATATCCAAATGTATCAAATTTTTTTTGTTACATATACATCTCATAATTTGTAAGAAAACCTAACATTTTCATGAAAAAGACATAATTTAACCCATGCTAAGAACTTGGAATACATGTGCATAAAATCAAGCATTTGTAATTTCAATTTATAAAGTACATTTTTTGTGCATAAGTATTTTGCAAAGTAAATATAATAAGTAGCAAGTACACTCTAAAAAGAGCATGTAAAACTACTACTGAAAAGTATCTATTTTTCAACAAGAATCTGTATATATATACGTATAAGATGTTCAGTATTTGATTTTGAACTTGGGATCTTTAAAATAAACACATAAATACACATATATAGAATGTTTAAAATTGCAAAAATTTTCGAACTACAAATACATTTGAGTAGTCTACTTGCAAAGTGCGCTATGTAAAATTTTTTCCATTCTTAGTTTTTGGCGGATTACGTACCAGTATTTAAAGTAGTTTCATGTCCACTAACAACAGAGTGCAAAATCATTTTATATTCTGAAAAAAAAATAGCATCAAATGTTAAGTCTTCTTCCAAAAGTCGGTATCATACTTATTTATGAACTTTCAAAAGTATCAATCTTCTGATGAACTTAGAAAGCTACTTTAGGTCGTATAGACTGTTAATGTTATCTTATGACATGTTATGTTATGTTACAATTTTATAAGGGTCCTATTTATCCAAATTTTCAGGTAATAATAAAAAAGATTCAATGTAAATGTTACTTGTTGTCGTAGTCACTTTTTCAAATGTATGGCTTTCTATTATAAAATCACATAACGCTGTTTGCAAGTGGAATACTCATTTCCTACTAATAATAAACATTACTTTATTTTAAACATTTTATGTGTAATTTTGTTGCGACAAATTTGGTATGTAAGAGTAAACAGGCAATGATTAATTTAATTACACGGCGTGCGAATTTGCACACATTAAAAGAGGAAACTGGTTACCTCTCTTAACATGCGCAAATAAATAAAAAATTTTTAGAGTGTATTTAAAGTCTTTTCAGTAAAATTCATAAAAGTCTCCTTAAATAAATCAAATTTAGTTTTTTAAACTGCATTGAAATCTTCTTTCTTTTTAAATTAACAAATAAAAATATGTGATATGAAAGATATTGCTACAGAAAGAGTATATTTTACATTATATATGTATATCGTCGTTTAAAGTACAAAACCGCGTATCGTCATTCTGCAAAACCGCGTAACTGACATTTGCTGCCAAAAATTGGATTTGCTCACACAAGCTGTTGGCTCAATCCTTATCCATTCGTCCTGAAATATACTAGCCAGAAATGCGATTGCTTTATAAAAAAGAGAACCATTTTGAAATATGAGTGTTTTTACTCTCTAGAAAATAATTTATGCAACGTCACATACGCGGTTTTGCATTTTGTTGATACGCGGTTTTGTACTTTAAACGACAATATGTATATTAAGATCTTGCTTAAAGCATCCTTTTAAGCTAATTAAAGCAATTGCGCTTATACCTATTTTGGTGAGATCTCTTCATATGTTCATTGCTTCGTTCACAAAAAATAAAATGCTTTAATTTCAAGCTTAATAGCGATTCTTTATACGTTCAGAAAACGTAATGCTTTCTACCATCTTTAATGAAAATCGATTTTTGAACGAAAAAAACTTTATAGGAAATATAAAATTTTGGCCTATTTAAAAAAGTATCCACATTTATACTGACCGGAAAAAATAAGTAACCCGCAAAAATTCGCCTAAAAATGTATCCAATTGGATCTATTTAGATCCAAACGGCATCCCTGCTCGTGAGTTGCCCAAACTCAGAGCAAACTAACGAGCGAGCGAGGGGCTAAAATGAGGAAAATCCGAACCCTGATAAAAACCTTAAAAAAGTTACAGGAATGATAGACTGCGTATAGCAGGCGTACCAGTTTGACAGAATAAAACGTAACCAAAGATCATAGAAAATAAGCATGCTGTCTATGTATATGGCTCCCTTATATTCTATGTCCTTTGTTATAACGAAAGTTCTGCCAGGTTTGTACTAAAACTTGTTTTTGGACCAGAATACAGAGAGACCGTCTTTTTTTTATTAATAAAGAAAACACTAAAATTCGGGATTTAATCGGTACAAATATGAAAAATTGGGACACTTATACGTCTTGACTTTTGAAAAATATTCAGCAGGACAATTCTCTCAAAATCGGTACTATCCCGCCAAAATCGGTACGAATGGTCACCGTAATGATGTGACACATCAGTCAATGGCAAACCTCCGAGTGTACTTCTGCCATAAAAAAGCAGAACATGAATTTTAAGCGAAGCTCGGACATAATTTTAAAACTATTTAGGGGCTTCCCTTATACTGGAAACTTCGAAAACTTTTATTGCATTCGGATGAAATGAAAAAAAACCGGTTTGTTGGAATAAAAAATCCGGTTTATTCGATTCAAAATTTCAAAAAAAAACGCCTATAGATTTCCAAAAAACCGGCGAAAACGAGTTAGGAAAAATCGAGTCAATCAAACCAGTCGGTATACAAAAAAAAAAAAAAAAAACTGATGAAAAGACACATATCTTTGCAAATGATGAAATCTACAAAAATGTATGTTTTTGAACTATTTCGGTACATTATTAAACCTACCTTTCACCTTCCCGAATATTTGCTGAAAAAGATACCCTTATTTTACAATGTGCCTTTCCCCAGAACTAACATACACTTGGCCTGTTGTTTGTTGCAGCGAGTAGTAAAGTTGTTACCTGTTCATCACTAATGGCTCAGGAAAACGCGATCACCGCTCATTGTGCTTTGCCAAATTACAGTCATAAAAAAATGAAGTTAAAAACCTTCAAAGTGATTGTTAACTATTTGATCATCGCAAGGTTCACTTTTTCTACAATAACCAATTTGAACAATCTTTTTTCTTCACAAATCGAAGTAGCTTTAAATGAATAATGACAACAGGTTCTTACCTCTGGCTGTTCCATAGCATTGCCGTCAAGATCGACAGCCCGTGACAATGACTCGTCGACTAATAATTGCTTCGGCTGGTAAGATGTTCTTTCTACTATGCCCAGAAATCTATTAACACGAAGGCGCAAATTTTCCGCATGCAGCATAAAATGAACGCGATGCAAAATGCTGGGCAGCAGCAATGCTTTCATCCACATATCACCCGGGTACATAAAGTTATGGCAAAGTTCAGGTATAAGACGGATTGCGCAATTATTCTTATGCCCCTTCGTTGCCTTTCCAACAGCGTTAATAAAAAAATTTCGACGCGAAGTTAGTGCACGAACTTCTAGCAAAAATTGATTCGGTTGCACCACATAATCCACTTCATTTTTGTACTTGCAGTCGATAAAATCGACGTAACTTGAATATTGATTATTGTCGAAAGGACTTAGCGGTGTGAGATCAGTAAGTACTTTGGTTACGACAAAACGTTGATTGTCTCTGCCTGAGTACCATTTATTAATCACTTTGCCGACATAATCCTCCGGCTTGTAGACCTTCTTTTTCCTTTCAATGACACTGTAGCTGCGCTGTGGCAATAGACGTTGGAAGTTTTGTACCAATTCCCAATCAATTTTTCCCGCATTAATCGGTACGATGAGGTATGAATTCTCGTGGTTACGCTGATCTAATACGAAGAAAGTTTTCCAACACTCGAGCAAATCTCGGAAGATCATCAAATGGAATTTACATAGTTGTTGTAATTGCTGTTGACTTGATATAGTCAATGTAATTGGTTGTGGCGCCACTTTCACTGACAATTTACCCTGATTCATGAAAAGCGGCATTTCTGCGAGCGGCGGTATGCGTTTACGCGATAAAATAGCATAGTTACGATTGGTCTGCAATAGCTCGGCGATGTGTTCAGTGTAGTCATCTTTCTCAAAGTGGGGTATTGCATGAATCTCATAGGCATAGCAGACTTCATTGAGTTGAGGGATTGCATTTTGCAGTTCCTCCGGATATTTTCGATTATACAAACGGCGTTGTTGCTTGCCAGCAGTTTTTGAAGTGACTATAGATAAATGAAAAATTATAAGAGATTCAGCTCATTCTGGAAAATATTTATAATAATGTTAAGGGTCTTTCAAAGATGCTTGCCATTTAAAGGATTTTCACTTTTTGCTACCTATCAATTAAAATATATATATATTTATATATTAAAGTCCAGCGCAAGTGTATTTGCCGCATTTCATTCAATAAGTACTCCTTGCATTGTACTATACTCTCAACACATTGTTACTCTTTTTCTGCATACATACACTACTTGGCGTTGAAATAGTAAATACTTCACGTACTTGATATTACTCCACCAAAGTAGGTACTCTACTTTCTCTCATCGCGTACGAGAGATATTTGCTGCTGCCAAAAGGGAGTAGCAAATCTACTCTCTGTATACTTGTAGTTGCTGTAAGTACTTGCGTATTAAATTTCAATTCTGGTTGTTAGCCTACTAGTTGATATCGTTTGCGGCGGCATTAACCAAAAAATAAGTTGTCAAAACAACAACTTAAGCAATGCTGCTATACGAAATAAAATTATTAGTGGCAAATCAAAATTTTGAAAAGTGCCGATTTTCACATTCGATAGTTTGACATGGTAGCGACGAGATGTACGAGCATTTTTTTCTTAAGAGCTGCATACTGATTTAAGTAATTTTTTATAGAAGCAAATTTATTTTCCATTCATTGTGCGTAATTTTATATGAATTTTTAGTTTTCTTGAGAGCCTTTACAAATAAAAAAAATTTCGAAATATGTACATATGTACATACATACGCAGCCATATAACTTGATTTCAAGAGAAACGAATTTTCATTGGGCAGGTTCAGAAGGCGCAACAGCTCAGTAACTGGTACGATTGCACCTTCTGAACGCGTTGTTGCGTACTTCTGATCAACTGAATAGTTGCGTGTTAGATGATCGTAATATTTTTCTGATCATTTGAGACCACATGTTGGTGTGTACCTTTGAGAGTTGGATTTGACAGCTAATGTATGAAGTCGTTCAGAAGACGCATAACGATCACTGATTTTTTTTTAGCAACGGTTGCGCTCAACTGCTGCGCCTTCTGAAACTACCCATTGATAGGTTTTTTTTTTATTTGATAACACTGTGCGACACCTCAAATCGGTATTGAGTAAAATCAAATGCAAGAGATAGTTTTTGAATTTCATTGATTTTTTTTAATAAATACTAAAACTAGAGGTGTATGAATGGCGAAAGAAAGACTTTATCCGAATTTTTTAAATCGAAACTACATTTTTACATATGTACATGCATACATACATATATTTAATATGAAATTGAAATTTTCACATCAATTTGCGCTATCTTCAAACCCATGGTTTCAATTGTACGCATAACGTCAGGGTTTTCCCACCAACTTGGTTTTGCTGCAGTGAAGCGACAGAGCAAGTGACGAGAAAAATATATGCGGACACTTATATATGTATCTATGCACATACGTTTCTATGCACATACATACATATGAACTTAGGTATGTATATCAGCATTTTAGTTGAAAGTACGTTTTGCTCGTCGCTCTCTTCATCGCTCCACTACATTCCTGTCCTAAGTTTTATTCAGATACCACAAATGTATGTTTTCTTCGAAAATACTCAAGTACTACCAGTAGAGTACTCTACTGTCAAATACCTTTTACTCGCAGTAGTTGCGGAAGGCAAAGTAAATACTCTACGCGTCTTGCTATTGATCAGTAGTTTACGTACGCTTGAGTAAACGAGTAAGAGAACGATGAGAGTAAAGGAGGGAAAGTATTTGCGCGGCGATCGGATGTCTTGTTAGGCCGTTTAAATGGAATTGCGCAGGAGTTTAATATATATCGTTTTTGGGTTTTACCAACCAATGTCTCAATCGGCTTGTGTAAATCATTGCCGCCAAGATCAAGGAGCAGAAAACATGCTGTTTCGACGAGGTCGTAACAAAGATATAGGGGATGTTAGCTGAGTGGGTTAAAAAAAGTTGGCAAGTGAAGATATATTTGGTGTCGTGCGGACACCCGGGTCGGTGTCGAGTCCTTAATTGGGCGCAAGTTTCACGGATCTCCCGCGGCAGCTGAAGCTCTTCGACTGCTATTGGTGGTGTTTGGGCTCTAATGATGGCAGCGATGGGGCGAGAGTCTCTGAAGGTTGTTATGGACTCTTTGTGAATGCCGTTTACGGCTCCAGAAGTTAAACAATAACGGGGTGGGAGACTAACCTGTGGTCCCCTTGGTTAATCCTTCTTAACTTGGATGTTTGATTACAAAAAGTTACTGACAACTGTCAATCACTCATTTAATCCGCCGTACATCGTTTAAGTCCCTGCAGGAGAAGGATGTATTAATGCCTTCTAGAAGCGTAAAGAAACTTTTCACTCGAGAGGAGCGCACCCATGTCAGTATGATATCCTGCCTAGCATCGCCTGACCGTATAGCCTTGCCCTAACATTCTAGGGTGATACCCCCGCGATCGATGTCCTCTTCGATTAGACGATACTGCACAAAATTCTATAGGATGAACGCTAGGCCTCTGGATTTATCTCGCTAGCAATCTTTACCGAACGCGTTATAGGCAGCGCAACACAACAGTGCCAAGAAAAACCCCCCGAGTCATTCCGGTGCGTAGAACCGGCTGTAGTTCCGCCTCGTACAGATAATATTTCGAATAGCATAGATTTGTATCAAGTAATGAAAATGCCATCGACTAGCATTTTCAACGCCACAAAAATAAAATAAAATAAAATACAAAGCCACTAATTGGAAAACCTTACCGTCATCATTAAATTTTTTCCAATGTTCGAAAAGATCTTCGGACACTTTTGCCACACATTCTCGCTTCGTCACGGGCAACAAACGATCATTTAGCTCTCCTTGTTCGTAAAGCAGTTTACACACTTTAAAGGCAGCAGAAATTTTTGCCTGTTTAGAAGTCGGGTAAATGTCGCTCTGCAATTATAGTTAAAACGAAAATAATTTATGTACTACTTTAACACACTTCTTTTGCTAAAAAAAAGCAAATTTTCGTAGAATAGCTTAAAATTTACTCACCGTTATTGTATCTTTCACTGAAGATTGCAGCGGCATCCGTAACTCCACAAATATTCCTGATTCCGTTGTTTTTTTAGTAAACCAAGGCATGGCGGCACCAAACGCATCAGTAGGCAACAGTTGACAATAGCGATGTAACAATGCTAATGCACCCGACGCCAATAGGCAGGCACCGCTCGGCAGCAAAAAAGGTGGAATGAGATCCACAAATTGTTCGGCTATGGCTTCTTCTTTAGGATCATCTCGATCCAAAATTCGTCCAATCAGGAATTCCTGTATCATTTGATGTGCGGCTTTATAGTTTTGAATTTGCGTAATAATTTTTGCTTTATTAATATCTGGCGCAAATATAGCATACAGCGATTCATTACTACGGGCGCGCCCCTTCGTTTGCACATAAGAATTGAAGGTTTTTAATGGATCATAGGCGAATACATAATTGCATGCCTGAATATCAATACCTTCCTCGAGGACATTCGAACAAACAAGTAAATTGCATTCGCCTGTGCGAAAACCTTCGATGACCTGCAGATAAAGAGAAATAAATTTTGAATTATTATTTAGCCGATTCCAAGGCGCAGTTTGAAATGCATGTATTAGGGTGTTCGATTATTCGACATTTTTTCGAACCCAGTTTTATAATTATTTGAAAAATTATACTTTGAAAAAAAACCGGTTCCTAATTTTTAAATTAAGAAAAAAACTAGTTCTTTTTATTATTTATATAGCACTGTTGGTCAGAAATGGTAACCAAAATTATAATAATATTATAAATAGTGGGTTTTTTTTTTTTATTGAGAGAACAACCAACCAAAACAAAAAAAGTTCAAAGTATTTCGGATTAGAAGTAAAACAAATAAAAGCGAGTGAAAATTCACGTTGCATTTTTTTAAATTTTTTTACGGATTTTGAAAACATCCAAAAGCCGAAGAACTTAAGGAGTGCTCGAACACTATCTGTGCCATTGTCCCGCCCTGGCCAACATGCGCAACCAATTCTTCAACAAGTCTTTTCTAGATTGTTTAGCCGATTTGAACTCGGCGAACGTTCTCGACTTTTTGTGCTATATAAAACGCACGCGGTGGTTCAATTACTAGGGGAGGGAAACAAATGGCTTCGGCCAGTGGTATCACAACGGGCATATCCAGCCCACGGCGGCCACTCTAACCTAACCCTAACCTAAGGAGTGCTGAACCGACTCGGATTATAGAAATATTTGGATTATAGGAGTGTTTCAGTATTTCGCTAGCTTAGAGTGAAATGTTGCTAAGTCCACTTTTTATGAACAATTAGTTTTTGATGCAGGAAGCAAGGAAAATGGAAAATGCACCGTTTCTGAAAGGATCTAACTACTTGTTTTATTTCTACCTGTTTTATTCCGTGATGTGCAAAATTGCCAAGTCCAAAATAATCACAGAAAATTTTATAAGTCCAAAAAAATATGAATTTTTTTTACGCTATCGAATTCGATTTGTATTGTATATTGTGTAACAACATTATTTTTGAATATTTGTGTACATATGTATGTATGTATATTAGGCTGCGTCTATTTTGTATGGGGGAAAATAAAAGGCATTTGACCGTATTGTAATAGTAATATTATGATGTCTTAGGTCTAAGCCAATTGTTATTGGCCAAGAAAGATTAATTTAAAATTTATCTTTAGCCCGCGCAATTGAATCAAAGTGTATGAATTTTGAAAATGAAATTTTGGCTTGTAATATCTATGGAATGCGTTCATTGTTATAAACAGGACGATATATCAAATTAAGGGCTATTAAATTTAGTACCTCACGTTCATTTATCATTTTTCAATAAGTCTACAAATTTTTAAGATATTAAAATAAAAAATAAGAAAACTATAATTTTCCCTTATGAATTTTCAATTCTTCATTACTTCAGCAACCAAGTGAAAAATACAAAAAAGTGAGACGAGATTTATTTCAAACGTTTTAATGCTTTCGGATGTTTATATAATATTAAAATTACCATGGACTTGGTCACGCCGATTTGGTCAGTTTTCAAGATGGTGGTGAATGAAGTCAAACATGTATTGTCAAAGATTAGGAATCGTTTGATAAGTCAATAGTAGTTGCAAGCATAAATATAAGTATTTGCATACATTAACATAATGCAATTAGGGCGAAAAACGCCCATTTTAAGTCCATTTTTCGTGGTTTCCAAATTTGCCGTTATATGAAAGTAGGGGACGTGCAACAAGTGTTTACATAAATATTTTAGTTAATTCCATTATGAGAAAAAGTAACTGCAGATAGGTAAATGAAATAGTCTTTAATATATCCTGGAAAATCCTTTTGAGGACTCTCCAATTGGACGATATTGCTTTGCATTCACCTTGAAGGAATACTTTTCTGTAATCCGGTTCTTTCATTTAAAGGTTCTTTATAAAATTGAAGAGAATTTTTTTTAGAAAAAAAACTTGAGATCCACTTAAGTTTTTCGATATAACTGTTACTCGACCGGCACGTAATAATTACCAAATTGATAATAATAATAACGATAATATAAGTATGTAAAGCTGCTTATCAAAACCTAGACCATACGATGTTCTTTATTTGGATCACACCTTTTTTAATACATTTAATAACGTACAGTTTTGTAAAAATATTCGTCCTGGACGTGGTAGAGGCGACGCCAAAGTAACAGATGTTCGTGGTATCAGATACACACCAACCGGTGAAATATTTTTTAAACTTAGGTTTTCAGATCCATGGAAAACTCTTCCTCTAAGATTAGACAAAAGTATAGTCCCGTTACAGTGGTCCAATTTGCACCAACTTCACCAAGGCAGACGCCGAATTACAGCAAGAAAGTACGAAGATTTGCAGTATTTAAAAGCAACTTTGCCTAAAGCCCATCACAATTTTTACGATAGTTTGCCACATGAATGATTTTTTGGTGTGTAGTTTAGTTTCAGCGAACAATACTATTAATTTAATCTACCAATAATTGTTTGTTCATTATTATTTTGATGTATAAGTTGTTGTTTATAATAAACAAGTTCGCAACTACGTTTCAAATTAGAAATATGAAAAAAAAAAATCGCAATCTTCTTTCACAGAAAATTTATTTAGTCTGAACCGAAAATCCCATTAATGGGATCGTAAAAGAACGGCCGCTGTGGTGTAGTGGTAAGCAGTGCGCGCTACCACTGCGCAGGGCCTGGGTTCAAGCCATGGTCAAAGCAACATTACAAACAAATTTAGAAGAGAAGGTTTATCCTTAACAGCGGTCGCCCCTCGACAAGCAATGGCAAACCTCCGAGTGTATTTCTGCCATGAAAAACAGCGTAAAACGGTAAGTCCCTTCCCTTTGTGTGACAACATCAAGGCGCACGCCACAAATCGGAGGAGAAGCTCGGCCAAGCGCCAATCTATTACACAAGGGGGAAAAAATGGGAAACAATTTCGTTGCATCAAATGTTAATGCTGTTTTGGATAGACTTGTTTATGCTGATTACGAATCCGTAAGTATAAAGTCTCCATCAGCTCTAGATTTGGAAAAAAAAACGAGGTCAAAGTGTCAAAAAATCGCGTTTTTTGCAATATTTTAGAAGCCATAGCAGCCAAGAGAAACTAAAGGTGATATTAGGCTTAAATTAAAGCTAGAAGTCTCGACTACTATCCCTGAAAATACCATCCCTGCACCTTGAATTGATGGTCACCTATAGTAATCAGCATAAAAAAGTCTATCTAACAGCTTTAACATTTGATGCAACAAAATCACTGTTCCCTTGTATTATTATTATTATTAAAAGAACCTAAACCATTTGTTCTAAAAAATTGTTTCTTAAAATGTACCTACGAGATGGATTTTTCGTATTGTACATATTGGAAAAATTCATGGAAAATTTGCTAAGTCCAACAAAAAAATTTTAAGAAAAAAGTAGAAAATTTGCTAAGTCACAAAATTATCTACAAAATTTGTAAAAAAGCAGACTTCTTTATTATTTTTTTTTAGTGAAGGGTAAATGAAAAACGCGAAACATTGCATTCAAAGTTTTGCAAAATACTTAAAGAAAATTACTTAGGAACGTTTTTGGTGTCTCCTGTACAATTGAAAAAATGGACTTAGCAACTTTGCACTCTAAGCTAGCGATATACGTTTTAATAAAACAAGTCAAAAAATGTATTTAACTTATTAAAATGTCTAGATATTTTTGGTTGTTTATTCTACGTTCTCTTACTGGTATAAGATTCTATTACTCGTTATATGCACTTAAGAATTATGAACTCTGTAGAGGCTATAGAATAGAAATTCAATGAATTCGGATAACTAAATCGCCAATGCTCGAAAATGACAATCCGGATTACCGGCTGTTTGGCTGTATTTCTAATTGTTCTTAAAATCATTTTCTAAACGGAATTTTCAAATCAGTTACAATTTTTATTGAAAAAAGTTATGGTGCATTTACATGGTATGGTATCAAGGTGTATTAAACAAGGTGTGATTGACAACTCAGTGCGGCTCTCTTTTAAGGTACTATAATGTCAAAAAGTATAAACAAACGAATTAACCCTTAGTGATGCATGTATCTTGTCAGCACTGATACCCGAGGCTTTTATTTTGATTATAGTTTTGTTTTACTTACATTACCTGGAATATATATATTTTGTCAATAAAATAAAACAAATTGTTTATAAAATCGTTTTAGCAATTTTCTTGTTTTTAATTGCCCAAGTTTTATGCGAAATAGTTTGGGTACAAACGCGCTCGTTTGAAAGTGCTTGATTCGGACGAACAAGTGAAATCACTTTCCTTGAAGTGGTTTTCACAAACGCGAGATGAATCACGTAGTACAACACCACATCGCTGCCGTCTTAACTCGCAACTAGGTGGTTTAAAACATCGCACTATTTTCGTGTCCCGACTTCTATTGCATACAGCGCACCGTTCAAAAGTTTTACTCCGTTTCATCTTGGTTTCCTTACATTAAATACTTAAGCAAAGTCGAACGTATTTACTTATTACCAAACTTTAAATGTACTTACTTGCTCTCCTCGGCGGTGTATCTCTTAACAATTTCACGTTTATTAAGAAAATTTGTTGCTTGGAAAATTTTTATGTAAATTTTTTAAACAAATTCAAATTTGAAAAAAAAAATATTTTCAAATGGGTTAACAATTCATTTCAATTTGACATTATAGCCTGCTTCTTATGAGAGCAATGTCAAAATCAATCACACTTTGTTGAATACATTTTGGTATGAATCTGTTCATAAGCCGTATGAATTTTCCTATAAAAGAAGCACTCTATGAAGAAACGAATGAAACCGATATATATTTAACAATTTTGTTTTATATACTTGGCAAGTACTTTTTTGGTAAACAACAAATAAAAAAAATTTATTTTTTTGTTAAATGTGCTTTACTTACTGCCAATAAAGCCTTGTGGATTGCTATTTTTCCATATTTGTAATGCTTCTATTTAAACATCTTTGTGGAAACCCCGTTTTTTGTTCAGAATTGCTTATTTACGAAACGTTTGGCATAAGTTGAAATCAT